CCCTAAAAATTTTTTTGGGCCTGGGTTTTTTTTTTTTTTTTTTTTTTTCTAGGAAAAAAATAGTTGTTTGTGCTTTCTCTACATACCTGATTTTCCACTCTTTCAAGAAGTGCCGGGGGTAGTGGAGAGGAAGAATTACTCTTCTTTAAGCATAGCAGTTTCTCTTGCAGAAACTTGAAACATGGCCAAAAGCCACTTGGCCTTGAGAAGAAAAGGCAGTTTGTCACCGTCCCTCGCAGGGACTTAAACCTGCTTCCACTCGTGCCCTGTGGTCACTAAGATAACTCTGCTGAGCTGCAGATGTTGCTGTAGAACATCCATAGGTGGGAGTACAGATGAGCCTTGGCTGTCGGCCAAGGTGCCAGACCCAGTGCCACGCTGCCCAGAGGCCACCGAACCCACCGTGATGGCCACTGCGTTGTCACCAACCCGGGCTCCCGCTGCCGAGTTTGGGCTCGTTGCAGTGAGTGCAGCCTTGGGGCAGGCACATGGTGGCAGCCAGGCCTGGCCTGGCCCTGCCGAGGGGCAGAGTGGGGGGCTTCAACTCGGAGGGATTTTCTGCCTTAAAAATAAAGGCAGAAAATAGCATGAGAGCCCCATAGTAGCATGCTGAAGGCTGCAGTGCTCAGAGCTACTAAATAAACCCGGGGGTTCCTGTTGGTCGTGCCAAAGCAGCCAGGTTGGGAAGTCCCCGCGCTCCTCCAGGGAAAGGAGCGTCCTGGGATCGGTGCGGGGCCAACGGAGCTGAGCTCCGTCCTCTGCTGGGCTCTCCCTGGCCTTGGGGAGCGGGGGCATAGAGGCCCCTGTAACACGTGAGGGATGATCCGCTGCTTCCCAGGGCAGGGACGAGCCACGGCCCTGGCGCCGTGTCCCTGTCACCGAGGCGGCCGCGTGCTCCAAGGCTCCAAGGCCGGAGCTCCGGGAGCTCTGTGGCTCCGGATGGCGCCGCTCCCGTGGGCAATGAGGGGCCCCTGCGTCGCTCGGCCGCTGGCTCTGCTCGTGTGACAGTGCCCAGGGCGGCAGCGACCCGCGTGCGGTGTCCGGCGCTGGCACAGAGCAGAGAGGAGCTTCCTCCATCAGGCTCCTCTCGTGCTTCCTACTGCAATTCCCTCCTGTTCAATATCTGTCCTAACAGCTAAGCGAAACTGGTTCAAGGCAGAAGCAGGATTTTACTTAAAATCGCACTGTTTTATTGTAAAAATGAAATGTTTTATGGGGAGGTATCAGCTTAACATGGCATTTCTTTCCATTGTGGTTCCAGGCACTAATTAGCAATACAATCATTTCTTCCCTCAGCTTGTTTGCCATGAACTTGTTCCTGGAGGGAAGACCATTCCCGTTACCAATGAAAATAAGTAAGTACAAATTAGATTTTTAAGGTCACCACTGTAAAATACTTTATTCTGGTTCCTTGGGCTTGCATCTGGAATGAATTGAGATAGATTGGAGCAGAAGGAGCCCATAAATATCTTAATAGAATTTACTGGTTACAGTTCATCGGCAGAAATTGTATTAAATTCGATTTGCAAAATAAAAATTGACAATTTACTTCTTGAAACAGCGCTTCTGAGGTCAAAGGCACACAGTCTGTGAGATTCTGCAGGATTTAATGATGGTGATAGATACAGACAGATGGATTCAAAGCAATTCAGGCACACAGTCGTGAACATAGAGGGCACAGATGCTCAAAGACACCTTGGAGCAGACAGATCTTCTCAGAATGATAACATGTGGCAGTTGTATAAAGCGCTCTTCTTCAGAAGAGACAGTGGTGAATTCAAATGCAGTCGACAGTCGTGCTTTAGACACAGGAAATCAGAGGGGACACTGAGCCCTGCAGCTATTTTCACAGATAACCGCCTTTTAGATAGTTATCGTAAATGTCAACTCTGGAGCCTGAAAACCAAACCCACCTTTTTGTTCCCTTCGTTTTTTTTCCTTTGCTATCCCCTCCAGTGATCATGAAAGCAGGATAAAATCTCTATTAAGCAGGTGTGTGTTTGAACTGGCAATCTGAGGGTTGCTGCTTCAACGGCAAGCGGAAGCCGGGTCCTACCTGAAGATCCGTGTGCCTTAGTTGTGCTCCGCAATGGGATGTTCCCAGTCTGTCCCCCTCTTGAGCTCCAGGCAGGGAGTTTGCATTTGAAAGGGATCTTTCTGCGGCTCCAGGGGATGCAGGAATTGCTCTGCTCACCTCCAAGAGGAGCTGCAGGAATTTTTGGGCATGTGTGCGCGGGAGCGGGCGGTTGGGAGGGAGAGGGTGAGGTGGGAGCAATCTAGGAGCACGTCTGTCTCCTGCCATCGGGGTCACGGTGCCTGGCTGGAAACCTGCTCAGCTGACTGTGGTCGTGTCTGTGCGGGAGCTGACAAAAAAGAATTAGCAAATTGGATTGTTGTGACTGTTGGAAGGTGGAGGGAGCTCATGCTGGCTCCGTCTAATAAACAGTGCACCTCTCTATTCCCTGGGAGGAAGGTGGAAATCTCTTAAGTGTTTTTAATCTGTTCATTCCAGCTGCAGTGAGGGTTCTGCAGAGCTTGGCTTGTTAATCCTGGGGAATTGGAAGTGGCCTGTGTTTTCGTAAGGCATTTTGTGCTCTGCGCTCACGCGGGGCTCACGTGTTCCCGGGTTGTCTGAGAGATGGTGATCAGCCCCGAGATGGAAAGTGTGGCGCTGACGGTGCTCCTGTCTGCACAGCTGCACACAGCAGGGTCGGGCTGTTCTCTGGAGTTGGGTTTGTCTGAAAGGCTCACGGAAAACTGTACAAAATCATCCGTACAAGCGCACCGGCTGCCTCGGGGTGCTGTCCTCTCCCTGGTGGCTTGAGCAGACGTGGCCTTCGGGGCAGGCAGCACCAGAGCTCTGGTGCTCTTCAAACCCCGCGCGGTGCCTGTCCCTGGGGTCTGCTCCTTCAGAGGGCAGCTGGGCACAGGATCCCATCTCCCTCAGGGACGGCCCGAGGGATGATCAGTGATGGTTTCAGCCAGCTCATCCCTGGCATAGGGCATCACAGAGTCATCGAATCGTAGAAACAAACAGGAGCCCCAGAGCAGGAAGGGGACGCGTCCCCGGGCCCGGCCGCAGCGGCTCCGCTCACTGCCCTCCTGTCCGGCAGGATCAGCTACATCCACCTCATGGCCCACTTTCGGATGCACACGCAGATCAAGAGCCAGACGGCGGCGCTCATCGGCGGCTTCAGGTCCATCATTAAGCCCGAGTGGATCCGTATGTTTTCCGCACCGGAGCTGCAGCGACTGATCTCTGGTGACAACGCCGAGATTGACCTCGAGGACTTAAAGTAAGCC